CAGGTGTGTGTAATTAGGGTTGGAGCTAACCTCTGCAGGACACCGGCCCTCCAGGACCGGGTTTGGACAGCCCTGTGCTAAAGCACTGCAGAGATATACCCTCATGTCCATTTTGGTGCTCTTCATCAAATTTGTTTGAGCATTTTTCGGTTTGACGGTTTGACTAATCAACTTGAATTCCATACATTTTTGCCAACATGGTCTGAAGATGATCTGAACCAATTTTGGTGAAAATCAGACAAACTGTCTAGAATGAGTTTGAAAAAGTAGGTTTTTCGTATATTTGAAAATGTGAAATTTTTTTTTTGAAAAATCTTGACCCATAGAAATGTAAATTTTGACATGCATTTGACATGGCGTGAGCCAAGGAATCAGAGGAAAAAAATTATTTTGCTTCTGAAATTTATGGTTCAAAAATTATTAGCATGAACACGAGTGAAACTTTGGACAAGTGGTGGCGCTAGAGAGTTTAAGTTAGAGACTCCAAACTTGCGATGATTAATGTTGAGACTGTCCTCTATCTGTGTGCCAAATCTCATAACTTTCCCGCAAGTGGTTCTATGGGCTGCCATAGACTCCTGAACAGAACGCACCTTCAGTGCTTAGCTCCTAAAAATCAGAAAATGGGTGAATTCCATTTTTTCACTGCAAAAAGGGGACGGTTGTTCCATATTAAAGTCTGTGTAAAGCAATATTAAATATGTGTTCTGAGTTTGTCACACCACAGAAAAATGTGTTATTAACCACCCAGCCAAATTTGAATGATAAAAAAACCCGGCAACTAAATAAAATAAGGTATCAAAATCTTGAAAAAATAAGCAGTATTCTCTGCTCTCAAATGCTGGGGGCGTGTCTGCTGTCGGTGCTGAAACCACGCCCACTGGAAGCTGGTTTTCCCGTGGAATTGGGCTACTTCAACACTGTTGCCGCGGCTTGTTTTTCATGTCCGCGGGTTGAAGAGACTCCAATAACATGATATTTATCCCCTGGAATGCGAATTTTAACAGGGTAACCCCACCAAAAAACGTGAATTTTACCCCCCGGAATGTGATTTTTAACTGGGGACCCCCTCGAAACGCGATTAGGCTAGTTTTGGGCTAGTTTTGGGTAGCGATTGGCTGCTTGTGTTTCATGTCCGCGGGTTGAAGCGACTCCAATAACATGATATTTATCCCCTGGAATGCAAATTTTAACAGGGTAACCCCACCAAAAAACGTGAATTTTACCCCCCGGAATGTGATTTTTAACTGGGGACCCCCTCGAAACGCGATTAGGCTTTGTTTTTCATGTCCGCGGGTTGAAGAGACTCCAATAACATGATATTTATCCCCTGGAATGCGAATTTTAACAGGGTAACCCCACCAAAAAACGTGAATTTTACCCCCCGGAATGTGATTTTTAACTAGGGACCCCCTCGAAACGCGATTAGGCTAGTTTTGGGCTAGTTTTGGGTAGCGATTGGGCGGGTTTTCTTGTGAAAACCTGGCAACCCTGCTGTCACTGGTGGGAAGAACAAAGATTTGAACATTTATGAAGAGAGAGAGTGAAACCTTCTGAATGAAGAGGCGCAGAGCGGTGAAGACGTGTTTGAGGGTGCTGGTGGACTGGTTGATCTGGAAGAACAGCAGGTACGTGTCAAACACTTTTTTCATCAGAGAGTTTTGCCCTTCATCGTGCTGCAACCGTTTCTGCAGTAGAAGAGAAGACAGCAGGAGTTAGTCATCTTAAAGAAAACACACCATGTGTCCACTAGATGGCAACATTACCTCCTTACAATCAGAATGAATTGAACAGATACAGACAGATTGTGAATACTGCAGTGATTTTTGGCCAGTAGCATACTTTTGCAATTCATCTATTTTTTCTCAAATAGGACAGTGTTCAGACATTTTAATAGCATAATTGATTGATATCTAAATTGATATTAAACTTAAGTTAATGTTGGCATATGTAGTTTAACAATCTTGTGAAGCATTTTTGTTTAGAGGTATTACTAATATTTGAAATACTCTTGTCCACCCAATCAAAGTCAGTGCTAAATAAATAATCTTTCAAATATGTCTGAATAACAATTTAATTGTGCACACTTCAGGTACAATTAAAGTATTTTTGTACTTTCATTTTTATGCATTTCTTATTTGATGGTTACATAAACTATAGTCATTAGGTCAAAATAGTCATTTTTAGAGTCTTAAAATCAAATTGTAGAAAATGTTTTGAACAGTTTTGTTTCAAAAATTTACAAAAACAACATTCATAGATTTCTAAAGTGTTTAAAACTATTTTTTTAGAAGATTGTCTACTTTTTATTATCTCAGACACCCTGCCTCGTCATTGATCCATATGAAAATATTTACATATACTTTAATATAAATTCTCCTAGTGTTCATGTTTGTGCATAATATATTAAATATTGCAACAGACTACAAAAATACTTTTTAAAGATTTTTAAGATATATCATCAAGCACTAATCCCAATTCATATACTTCTAGTAAATATGAAGTAAGTATGTATTCTCTTGTGTGGGATAATATTATGTTCAGAGTGTATACTGGGATATATTTCCACATCATAAATCCGTATCAATATTACCTTGTGATGATGAACAAACAGATCCAGAACATCCAACACGGTCAGAGCGACTTCAGTAGAAAGATTGGCTTCAATATCTGTGGGGCTGACGTTTTCTCCTTCAGATGCATTTCCATCTAACACACACACACACACACACACACACACACACACACACACACACACACACACAATACAGTTATGATACACATATTTTGACTCAATTCAGTGATTGTAATTTTGCTGTATGTATCTGAAACACACAGCGCAGGTTTTCCCAGGTGGTTGTGGTGAGTGTGTGTTACCTGTCTCCATCATGTGCAGCAGTTTGGGGTTGGTGAGGGCGTTCTTCCCCCTGATGATGGGCATGGTCTGTGAGCGGGCGTGTCTGTGTCCGTCCTGAGCAGAGAGCATCCTGGGAACAGCAGCGGTTTCATCGGTTAGCAATAACATAATCCAGAGATGTCATGACAATAACAGAGAAAACTATTCAATTCCCTCTCATTTTCTCCCTCTTATATCTCCACTTTCTTGGCTGGTAGTTTAATGCTTTACAGACTGTCAACAGTATTTTGGCTCTTACTAAACTGTGAATGTCTGTGAACTAGGCTTTAGCTACAAAATAAACACTAAAATAGCCTTTTATTTTCTTTGTAACAATAGAGACATATAACAGGGTTTCTGCAGGTTTTATGAAGGTAAATTTAAGACTTTTTAAGATACTACATTTACTTGAGAAGCAAAATGACAGAAGATATTAAGTCTTGTTTTATGAGATTGTGATTAAAACAAGAATAAATATCTACCATTGAGCTCAGAAAAATCTGCTTAATTAGAACAGGTTTTAATACCTCATTGACATACATTTGTTCTTGTTTTATGCATAAACTTATTTAATTGTGTTACATTTATCAAGAAAACAAGACTTCATATCTTCAGTTTGAATCGCAAGTAAAATTATCTTGGTTTAAGGATGTTTAGGTATTTGTCTTGCAAAACAAGACAAAAACACTGAGGAAGATTTTAATTTTATTATTATTTATTTTTTTGCAGTGCATGGAACATTTAATACTTTATGACTTTATGAATTGAAGACCTTCTGCTCTGATTTAAGACCTGTGAGTGAAAATAAGAGTGAAATAAGACTTTTAAAGACCGTTTGAAGAGCTGCAGAAAGCCTGTCGGTGAATGAGACGGGCTCGCTGGATACAGACATAAATGGTTCCCACACTATGGATGTAACATGATGAACTAGGGTTTTTACACAGGACAGACCCACTTTATAAGAAGAGTATTTAAGTACTATGTACTAATATTTAAATTAATCACTTGATACAATGCACTCACTGTGTACATACATATTTTTACATTGTACTTACATTTTAAAATACCTGCATTAAATTAATTACAGCATGAACACAATAAGTACACTGTACCAGACAATTAATGTGTTACATAGCAGTTAAACACACCTGATAAAAAGTGCGACAAATGCTTTGTGCGTGTGTGAGTGTGTTTTAGAACGTTATACTCGGGGTTAAAAATCATTTAGCTAAGAAATGCATTTATTGCAATAATTAATTCTATGCACTGCACATTTAGTGTTACACTCTTAGAAATAAAGCTTCTAAAAGGGGGTTTTTCGCAGATACAGAAGAACCATTTTGGGTTCATGTGAACATTTTAATACCATTTTCCAGTATAAAGACCCTTTTGTGCAATGCAAAGGTTCCACTGATGTTAAGGGTTCTTCACGGAACCACAGACGCCGATACAGAAGCTTTATTTTTAAGGCATTTTTGGGAGCTCTGTGTAGACCTGTTAGGTGTTTACCATTGGGGTAGGAGCCCTGAAGACTGGCAGGACACGTTAGACCCCTTCAGGGTGCCATTGTTCTGTGTGGCCTGAGCCAGCTTAACGGCGGCCGCTAGCTTCCTGCGCACACAACGAGCCAATTAGAGCAGGGTTAACGCCAACCTTCATCCTCACAGCCATTACAGACAGGAAAATGAAAGCCAAGCTTCTAGGGGAGTGTTTCAGAGCAGGACAAGTATCGTGATACTAAATGTCAGATGTTAGATGCTGGTGGGTGTCATCTTTAGAGATTGTTATGTATGGAAGGCAGACAGAGGAAAACATGAAAGTGGGAACAGAGAGCGTGATGAGGGAGAGATGTAAGATTAAACACATATCCGAATACAAAGACAACACACGGTGTGGGAATAAAACAGGCATGACACTACAGGCTGCTAGTTAGTCTTAATGCTACAGCAGTCATTATATAGTACTATCAGCACTCTATACTAGTAGAGAGTACTCCAGTTTTTGTTCCTTCAGGCACCTGAGCAAAAATATTCCTTATACTAGACCTGTCCAGCAAACACACAAAAACCAGTTACATCATGCATTTGCAACCTGTTACTGACTGCACTGTGAATTAGTGATGGGTGCATTCGAAGAACTGCTTCGTGAAGCTTCAACGAATCATTATGTTTCAACCAGTGGTTCAGAGCACATATCAAACTGCCAAAGTCGTGTGATTTCAGTAAACGAGGCTTTGTTACATCATAACTGTTGTCGAAATGCTTAGCCCATGTGAATCAGTGGTTTTTAGATGATCTCAGATCAGTTGTATACATTTGTAGACACTGTTGATCATAAATTTGTATAATAAAAATGAGCAATAGTAGTTAACAGTCTCTTATTAGCCAAGCCCTCCATAAAACAAACAAAACAAGCCCTGCAAATTAATAAAGTACAGTAGCACATATCATACAGAAACTTCATATTTAATGGTATTTGGTGATTTGTCAATTGCATTTCATAGACTTCACTTTCAATAAAGCATTTGCAATTGGTTTGTAAAAGATGTTTTTATGCATGTTTTTGTTGCATTTACACATTCTATCCCCAGCATGCGAATCATTTTGCAAAGCCATTGGTTCAATCGATTTAAAGTTTCAAAAAAGTGTGTTTCTCCCGTCAGTACTGTGAATCAAGCAAGTTAAATCCATTTTGCTTCAGTCACATTACAGGATTGAATGGGATGACATCTCACACTGTATTTCTATATTTCTGCTGTATTTCTTGATATTAGCTTTCAGAATAAAAGGGATTTAAGTATGTTTGAGAACTCATCTAGGAATACAGGGTCCTTAAAATCACACACAAATCACAACGAAAGTGATGCACAACATTAAACGGGTCATATGATGCTGCTAGAAAGAACATTATTTTGTATATTTGGTGTAATGCAATGTGTTTATGCATTTTAAGGTTAAAAAAACACATCATTTTCCACATACTGTACATTATTGTTTCTCCTCTATGCCCCGCCTTTCTGAAACGCGTTGATTTTTACAAAGCTCATCGGTCTGAAAAGCGAGGTGTGCTGTGATTGGCCAGCTATCCAGTGCGTTGTGATTGGCCGAATACCTCAAGCGTGTGATGGAAATGTTACGCCCCTCACCATACTGTGATGCCTTGTCCCGGCCGGAGCGACGAGACAAAAACATTAAAACTCATTACAAACGAGGCATTTGTTGCATCCAGTGGGGACATAATTATTGATTATAATGACTTATACTGTCTTTTTACGCGTTGCGTTGCGCATCGTGCCGCTTAAACAAAACCATGTCTGCATTTGTGATCGGAGGAACGACAAACAACAAGCGCTACTCTACACTGCTCAAAACTCGCGTTTGAATCATCAGTGGCAAATCCTTTCAATATAAAAAAAACTTACTTCCAGGCTGTGAGTCAGAAGAGCCAGACTGTCCTTGCAAAGTTGGAACTGCCCCACTTTATAGAAACAGCCTTTGTGCCACAGACGCATTGTAGGCTAACGTTACTTTACCAGGATCAGGAAACAGTCCTCCATAAAATGCGCTGGACACATCTGAATATTTGGGTTGAACTGTTCTGGAACAGTGTTGTAAATACAACTTAACCACTGATTTCTAGT